AGAACCTAAGGGATTTATGGGGCACCAACAAGCAGAACAACATATGCATGATGGAAATCACAAAAGGAGAAAAGAGAAATGAGTAGAGAGCTTATTTGAAGAAATGATGGCTGAAAACTCTCCAAATCTGATGAGAGAAAAGGACACACAAATTCAATAAACAACTCCAGTTGGAATAAATCTAAAGAGACCTACACTGAGACCCATCAAAATCAAACTGTCAAAAGTCACACAGACAGAATCTTGAAAGTGGCAGGAAAAAATGACTCATCACATACAGGGGAGCTTCTATTAAACTATCAGCTGGTTTCTTAGCAAAACCTTGCAGGCTAGAAAGGAGTGAAATAATATATTCAATTACTGAAGAACAAAACCTGCCCACAAAGAACATTATATTTTATAAAACTGTCCTTCTAAAATGAAGGAGAGATTAAGACTTCCCAGGTAAACAAAAGGAGAGGAAGTTGATCGCCACTCAATCTGCCCCACAAGAAATGCTGAAGGGATCCTTCAACTTGAAGAAAAAGGATGATAAATAGCAACACAAAATCATATGAAAATATAAACCTTCTGGTAAAGGTTTATTGTGTAGTATTGTAATATAGTGTGTAAATCACTTTTGAGTATGGTATAAATTTTAAACACAAAAGTAACAAATAATTATAGATCTATGTTAATGGATGCACACTATAAGGAAAGGATGCCCACCCTCAATATTACTATTAGACGAGAAAGAGAAGTAACAGAAATCTAAACTGGAAAAGATGAAGTAAAATTGTTTCTATTCACAGATGACATGATCTTGTATGTAGAAAACCCTAAAGATTCCATATGCAATAAAAAGTATTATAACTAATAAATGATGTCAGAAAATTTGCAGGATTTCCAAAAGCAATACATAAAATCCATTGCATTTCTACATATTAATGGTGACCAATCTAAGAAGAAAAATTAAGAAAAAAATTCCATTTATTTATTTTATTTTATTTTTTATTATACTTTAAGTTCTGGGATACATGTGTAGAATATGCAGGTTTGTTACATAGGTATACATGTGCCATGGTGGTTTGCTGCCCCATCAACCTGTCATCTACATTAGGTATTTCTCCTAATGCTATCCCTCCACTAGACTCCACTCCCCGACAGGCCCTGGTGTGTGATATTCCCCTCCTTGTGTCCATGTGTCCTCATTGTTCAACTCCCACTTATGAGTGAGAACATGCGGTGTTTGGTTTTCTATTCTTGTGTTAGTTTGCTGAGAATGATGGTCTCCAGCATCATCCATGTCCCTGCAAAGGACATGAACTCATCCTTTTTTATGGCTGCATAGTATTCCATGGTGTATATGTGCCACATTTTCTTTATCCAGTCTATTATTGATTGGCATTTGGGTTGTTTCCAAGTCTTTGCAATTGTGAACAGTGCTGCAATAAACATAAGTGTGCATGTGTCTTTATCATAGAATGATTTATAATCCTCTGGGTATATACCCAGTAATGGGATTGCTGGGTCAAATGGTATTTCTAGTTCTAGATCCTTGAGGAATCGGCACACTGTCTTCCACAATGGTTGAACTAATTTACACTCCCACCAACAGTGTAAAAGCGTTACTATTTCTCCACATCCTCTCCAGCATCTGTTGTTTCCTGACTTCTTAATGATTGACGTTCTAATTGGTGTGAGATGATTTTGATTTGCATTTCTCTGATGACCAGTGACGATGAGCTTTTTTCATATGTTTGTTGCCTGCATAAATGTCTTTTTTTAAGAAGTGTCTGTTCATATCCTTTGCCCACTTTTTGATGGGGTTGTTTGTTTTGTTTTCATGTAAATTTGTTTAAGTTCTTTGTAGATTCTGAATATTAGCCCTTTGTCAGATGGATAGATTGCAAAAATTTTCTCCCATTCTGTAGGTTGCCTATTCACTCTGATGGTAGTTTCTTTTGCTGTGGAGAAGCTATTTCGTTTAATCAGATCCTGTTTCTCTATTTTGGCTTTTGTTGCCATTGCTTTTGGTGTTTTAGTCATGAAGTGTTTGCCCATGCCTATGTCCTGAATGGTATTGCCTAGGTTTTCTTCTAGGGTTTTTATGGTTTTAGGTCTTATGTTTAAGTCTTTAATCTATCTTGAGTTAATTTTTGTATAAGGTGTAAGGAAGGGATCCAGTTTCAGCTTTCTGCATATGGCATCAAAAAGGATGAAATACTTAGGAATAAACTTAACCAAGTTAGAGAAACACTTTTACAGTGAAAACTACAAAATGTTGCTAAGAGAAATCAAAGAAAGGTACAAATAAATGGAAAGGCATCTCATGCTCATGGATTGGAAGGCTTAGTGTTGTTAAAATGCCCATACTACCCAATGTGATCTACAGATTAAATGCAATACCTATCAAAACTCCAATGGAATTTGTTGTAGAAACAGAAAAAAACCTTCCTAAAAGTCATAGGGAATCTCAAGGGACCCCGAATAGTCAAAATAATCTTGAAAAATGAGAACAAAATTGGAGGTCTTACAAAGCAACAGTAATCCAAATAGTATTGATGTATGAAAAAGTCTTTATCTTTCACTTTTGAAGGATCATTTTGCTGGATATATAATTCTACATTGGTAGTTTTCCCCCCTTTATCTTTATCACTTAAGTTTGTCATTCCATTGTGTTCTTGCTTGCACAGTTCCTGATGAGAAGTCCACTGCAATTCTTATCTTTGTTTCTCTGTAGGTAAGGTGTTTTTCTCCCCACTAGGCTGCCTCCAAGAATGTCTCTTTGTCTTTGGTTTTCTGCAGTTTTAATATAATATGCCTACGTGTAAGGTCTTGCTTGTTTATTTTAAGATGTGTATGTGTGTTTATTTATAATGAATTTGTTAATGTGTCTATTTTTATGCCAGTACTATACTGTTTTGATTACTATTGCTTTGTAATATATTTTGAAATCACGTAGTATGATGCCTCCAGCTTTGTTCTTTTTGCTCAAGATTGCTTTAGCCATTCGGTGTCTTAAGTTGAAAACTTTTCCTTTCAGATCAGGAACAAGACAATGATGCTTACTCTTCCTACTCTTACTCTACATAGTACTGAAAGTCATAGCCAGAGTAATTAGGCAAGGAAAAGAAATAAAAGACATGCAAATAGGAAAGAAAGAGATGAATTTGTCTCTGTTCACTGATGAAATAATCTTATATATAGAAAACCCTAAAGAGACCACCAAAAAACTGTTAGACTTAATGAATTCAGTAAAACCAACATACAAAAATCAGTAATGCTTCTATACCCTAACAATGAACTAACTGAAAAAGAAATCAAGAAAACAATCCTATTTATAATAGTTGCAAAAAATACTTAGGAATAAATTTAACCAAGGAGATTAATAATCTCTACACTCAAAACTATAAAATATTGATTAAATAAACTGGAGAACACATAAATAAATGAACAAATATTCTATCTTCATGGATTGGAAGAATTAATATTGTTAAAATATCTATACTATTCAAAGTGATCTACAGATTCAATGCAGCTCCTGTCAAAATTTCAATTACATTTTTCACAGAAATACAAAAAAGTCCTAAAATTCTGACTGATAATTTCAACACCTGTGTCATATGTAAGTCTGGTTCTGATATTGCTTTGCCTCTTCAAATTGTGTTATTTCTTGCCTTAGCAAGTTTTGTAATTCTGTTATTGTTAAAAGCCAGACATCTTGTATAGAGCAATAGCTACTGAGGTAAATAGGATTTTATCATGAATATCTACATTAATCTGGTCCAGAGTTAGGTTGTGTTTGATGTTTGTTGTCTCTGTGGGTACCAGAAGCATTAAATTTCTCTAGTGATTTTGCTTTTGTCTTCTCTCTTGGCCTTGGCCCTTCCCTGTGTGCTGTACCTCAGAGACAGGTTGTCTCTTGCAGCTGTTCCAGCTGTAATCCATTGTCATTTTAACTGGAGGCTTATTAGCTTGTTGTAGGGTGTGGGGGGATGAGGGCAGTCTACAATCTTCAGATTCTCAGTCTCTGGAGTGCATAGTGGGCCTGTATCTTGGAAGTGTGACTTTCACAATTGTTTTTGTTTCTCTTTCAGGGTGTGGTAGATTGAACTGTAACCCCCAAAAAGATGTGTTGAAGTCCTAATCCCTGGTACCTGTGAACGTGACCTTATTTAGAAAGCATCTTTGCAGATGTAATCAAGTTAAAATGAGGTCACACTGGATTAGGGTGGGCTCTAAATCCAATGACTGCTATCTTTATAAAGAGAGAAATATTTGAAGACAGAGATTAGGCATTGTGAAGAAGGCCCTGTGAATATGAAAGCAGAGATTGGAGTAATGCTGGCACAAGCAAAGTAATGCCAAGGATTGCCAGCAACCATAAGAAACTAAAAAAGGCAAGGAAAAACTCTCTCCCAAAGCCTTTGGAGGGAGCATGGCCTTACCAACCCTCCAAGACTATGAGAAAATAAACTGTTGTTTTAAACCACCTAGTTTGTGTAATTTGTTATGGCAGCCTTAGAAGACTCATACACATAGGTAAAGTATTCCCTCCTGCCAACTAATACTTTCTGTGGTTGTAACATTCCTAGTCTATGTCTTTGAAACCCTCTCCCTTGTATATTAAGGCTTTCTTTTCTTTCTTTTTTTTCCCTTAGGTAAGACAGGGAGATGGAGTGGGGCTGGAACAGGCTGAGTTGCCTTCCCCTAGTTGAGAAGGGATTTTGCTATTGCCTTCTGTTATTTTTGTCTTTCTCCCAACTTGTAGGCTAATCTTAAAAATAAATGGCTAGAGGTCCTGTCAACTCCACAAAAAGTATTTTCAGACCACACAGAAGGTATTTATCATTGCATAACAATGTGAATTATACACTTAAAATGGTTAAGAGAATAAATTTTATACTGTGTGTTTTCTTACCACAATTTTATCATTCCAATTTTTGATATATGTGCTGCCAAAGCAAATATTTCTTACCACAAGTTTTAAAAAGTATCTGTCTTCACACATCTCTTACCAAAATGATCTTCATGTTGCTGCCAAGCACAAGTCAGAGACTTGGAGACTGTATGGTGCCAATGGACAGCTAAAGGAAGTAAGCTTTTGAAGTTGGGCTGTGGAAGGGCTGGATATATGACTCCTCCCTTCAGCAAGTCCTGAAGCCTGCTTTGTAGGTGGGACAATCTGTGGTACCACATCCTAGAAGATTGGATAATAACAAGTTAGTAGTAATATAAAACAACTTTTATGAGGCTGTAGGAATAACACTACAGATGTAATTATGTAAAATGATAGATTTAATGATCTCAATACAGAGGATTAAACAAAGGAGAAATTGTGAAAAGTTAAGCATAAGTGATCTATAACCATTACTTACATTTTCTCATTAGCCACTTTTATTGTATGTCATACAGTATTCAGTACAGTCACATGCTACGCAGGTTTGTAGCCTAGGAGCAACAGGCTATATATATCATATAGCCTAGACGTGTAATAAGGCTATACCATCTGGGTTTGTTTACACTCTAAGATGTTCATACAACCATGAAATTGCTGAATGAGGCATTTCTCAGAATGTATCCGTCGTCATCCTGTCAACTGACCCATAATTGTAAAAGGATTATTTTTCATGTCTCATCCTTCTGGGTCTCTCTGCTCGTGATACTATTAATCATCCCTATTCTGACTATGTGAAAGTTTCTTCTCCGCTGTGGGCAAGTTACTTAAACCCTCAGTGACTCTATTTCTTTCTTTGTAAAATGAAGTTGATAATAGTATTTATCTCATGGCTTTCCTGTGAGGACTAAAATACTTAGAATTATATGTTCCATACTAAGCCCTACATATGTATTGCTGCTATTATTATCATTATTATGGCTGTTAGGAATAAACTGTATCTGTTGGGAAAATGCCTGGATAAACCTGCTTGGAGGTGGTGATGCTGAGTAGCATAGTTTTAGAAAAATTAATAAAACAACACCATTTGCATAAGGTCTTAGGAATTAATTTGTCCTGTGGTGGAAGACTGAGAGAGCTATGTGATTGCAGATAGGCTGTGTGGTTCTCAATGTGAACCTTCTCAATTACACCCTCAAATATGCAGTAATGTAACTAAATCCACAAAATGCTTCTCTTGAGTGAACTAGTGAGTCCCTGTGTGTGTGTGTGTGTGCACATGCATATGTGTGGGTATGTGAGTTGTAAGCTGATGAAAGGACTGAACTTCATGTTGATATGGGATGAAAGCAATCATATACACTAAAGCCACAGCTAGAGATATAGTAGAATTTACTAATCACTAGGGAGCAGTCTGTAATCACAGGATAGAGAATGGAAGGCTAAAGTCAACTTTATTGAGATTTTGTGGCTGAGGGCAAGGAGGAGAGCACAGAAAGTCCTCTGCTGATATCTGGGTTACATTTATTTCTTCACTGTATCTTGTTTCCAACCTCCTACCTATAGGTACTGTCTAAAACAGGGGTTGGCAATCTGTGACCCACCAACTGAAATGGATTTTGTATTTTTTAAGGAGTTGTAAAGAAAAACAAAGATGAGTATAAGACCAAGACTCCAGACGAAAACCAGACTAGAATTTCTCATTTGTAGTCTATGAAGTCTACAACACATGCTATCTGGATCTTGAAAGAAAAAAAATTTCCAACTCCTAGTCAAATATTCAATTCTTAATCAAATAGTCTTCTCCCACTACATCGAATAATCTCCCCAAAATCTGCTCTTAATCAAGTATATTCACTTACTTCATGATTTCACAAAATAAATATTACTAAGCAGGTTTATAATAGGTACTTTATTTTTTTATTTATTTTTTTGAGACGGAGTCTCGCTCTGTCACCCAGGCTGGAGTGCAGTGGTGCGATCTGGGCTCACCGCAAGCTCCGCCTCCCGGGTTCACGCCATTCTCCTGCCTCAGCCTCCCGAGTAGCTGGAACTACAGGCACCGCCGCCTCGCCCGGCTAATTTTTTGTATTTTTAGTAGAGACGGGGTTTCACCGTGTTAAGCCAGAATGGTCTCAATCTCCTGACCTCGTGATCCGCCCGTCTCAGCCTCCCAAAGTGCTGGGATTACAGGTGTGAGCCACCGCGCCCGGCTATAATAGGTACTTAAGTACTAAGATACAAACATAAATAAATCAGCAAATCCTAGCCACCATTCAAGATGTTCACAATCTACTGGGGAAGAAAGACAAGTACAGGGTAATAACTACTACTATTTATAATAGTTTTAAGCATACAACACAGTGAAAGGAGAAAAGGAGCAAGAGGTCAACCATGCCTGAGGAAAGTGGTGGAACTCCACATGACTAGTGTTCTTTGAAGAAGGTTTCGTTGTTTTATATTTACTTAAAAATAAAACTCATTGTAAACAAAAAAAGATGGGGGGATTGTTGGGGGTGTTGGAAATAATCCATACAACCCTGAAATACATAAAATAATAAGTAAAAGCCTCTTTCTTTCATTATTTACCATTCCCATTCTTTCAAGGAAACTGTTGATGAGGTTTGGCATATACAATGACACATAATTAAAATCTCCACACCTGCTATACACACATACAGAAATACATATGTATTTAAACCATAAAGAATGGTAGAAAACAAAGTCTCTCCTCCCCCATTTTCCATAATCACTACTCAATGTTACCAGTTTTAATTTTTAAAAATCAGCCTAAGCAAAACTGGATATCCATATGCAGAAGAATGAGACCCCTATCTCTCGCCATATACAAAAAATACAATGTAAGTGAATTAAAGACTTAAATCTAAGACCGCGAACTATGAAACTACTACAAGAAAACATTGGGGAAACATACCAGGACGTTGGTCTGGGCAAAGATTTCTAACCAAAAATGGACAAATGGGATCACATCAAGTTAAAAAGCTACTGTACACCAAAGGATACAACCAACAAAGTGAAGAGACAACCTGGAGAATGGGAAAAAATATTTGCCAATCACCCATCTAACAAGGGATTATTAATCAAGCAATTTGCAAACTGGCAGCAGGTATCTGAAATTCATACAACTGACAAAGTATTAATATCAAGAATATTTAAAGACATCGTACAGGCTGAGCATGGTGGCTCACGCCTGAAATCCCAGCACTTCGGGAGGCCGAGGTGGGTGGATCACAAGGTCAGGAGTTCGAGACCAGCCTGACCAACATGGTGAAACCCCATCTCTACTAAAAAATACAAAAATTAGCTGGATGTGGTGGCACGCACCTGTAATCCCAGCTACTCAGGAGGCTGAGGCAAGAGAATCACTTGAACCCAGGAGGCGAAGGTTGCAGTGAGCTGACATTGTGCCACTGCACTCCAGTCTGGTGACAGAGTGAGACTCTGTCTCAGAAAAAAAAAAAGGACATCCTACAAATCAATGGGAAAAGCAAACAATATGTGAGCAAATAGTATGAACAGACATTTCTAAGAGAAAACACATATGGTCAATATGGTCAATAAATTCATGAAGAGATGTTCAACATCATTAATGATTAGGGAATTATAATCTAGCCACAGTAAGATATGATATAACCATTTGATCGGCAAAAATGAAGATGTCTGACAATAACAAGTATAGAGGTCTTGCACATCTTTCATTGAATTCATTCCTAAGTGATTTATTGTGCTATTACAAGCAGCATTTTAAAATTTCAATTTGCAATTGCTAACAGTATACACAATGCAACTGATCTTTATATTCTGACCTGGAATGCTGTAATCTTATTCAAAACAATTATTACTTCCAGTAAGTGTTTTGGAAATTTCTCAGGATTTTTTGCTGCATTGCACTCACTAGTTAGGAGGAGTGAGCATGGACAACCTTGCTTTGTTCCTGATCTTAGGAGAAAACATTCTAGTTTCATGATTAAGTATGTTGTTAGCCATGTTTTTTGATTTTTTTGTTACTGTTATTAATGGCCTTTTTCTGGTTGGGGAGGTTTCCTTCAATTCCTAGTTTTCTGAGAGTATTTATCAGGAATATGAGTTGAATTTTAGTAAATGTACTTTCTACATCTATTGAGATTATTTTATGGCTTGTTGCTTTATTCTAGTAAAGTGGTTAATAATTCTGATTGACTTCCTATGTCAAAACAACCTTGCATTTCTGAAATAAACCCCATTTTATTATGTGATATATTATCCTTTTTATACATTGTTGGATTCAATATGCTGAAATTTTGTTACAGTATTTTGCATCTAGATACATGAGAAATACATGGTCTGGTGTGTGTAGGTGTGTGTGACATCTTTATCAGGTATTTTATCTGATTTATGCTGGGTTTTTAAAATTGTATTTTAAGTTCTGGGATACATGTGCAGAACGTGCCGGTTTGTTACATAGGTACACACGTGCCATGGTGGTGTGCTGCACCCATCAACCTGTCACCTACATTAGGTATTTCTCCTAATGCTATCTCTCACCTAGCCCCCACCCCCCAACAGGCCCCAGTGGGTGATGTTCCCCTCCCTGTGCCCATATGTTCTCATTGTTCAACTCCCACTTATGAGTGAGAACACGCGGTGTTTGGTTTTCTGTTCCTGTGTTAGTTTGCTGAGAATGATGGTTTCCAGCTTCATCCACGCCCCTACAAAGGACATGAACTCATCCTTTTTATGGCTACATAGTATTCCATGGTGTATATGTGCCACATTTTCTTTATCCAGTCTCACACTGATGGGCATTTGGGTTGTTTCCAAGTCTTTGCTATTGTGAATAGTGCCGCAATAAACATAAGTGTGCATGTGTCTTTATCATAGAATGATTTATAATCTTTTGGTTATATACCCAGTAATGGGATTGCTGGGTCAAATGGTATTTCTAGTTCTGGATCCTTGAGGAATCCCCACACTGTCTTCCACAATGGTTGAACCAATTTACGCTCCCACCAACAATGTAAAAGTGTTCCTATTTCTCCACATCCTCTCCAGCATCTGTTGTTTCTTGACTTTTTAATGATCACAAAATAAGTTAGGAAATGTTACCTCCTCTTTACTCTTCAGTTCTAGTATTTCCACTTGGTCCTTATTTAGAAATTCTGTTTATCCTCTAAAGTTTTCCATCTGTTCCTTCATTTCACTCATTTGCTCCTGTAAGTTCTCTAATATATTTATAGTAACAGTTTTAATGTCCTGGTCAGAAAACACCAATATCTGGGTTATCTGTGAGTCTGCCTTTATTG